TAACAACGTATATATTGCATAATATAGTTAAACCTGGCCAAATGTTCAGAGACCAGAATTGGGGGTTATTTATCATTTAAGGGCATTTCCGGCGGAGAAATGAAACGATTGTCAATCGCGACAGAGGTTTGCATGCATTATAAGAATAAACAAAATATTAATATGTGTTAAAAATTATGTTTAGATTTTAACTAATCCATCGCTAATATTCTGGTAATTACATTTATATACGGTGTTATTCACACAAGTGTTCAAAGAATGCTGTGTTATGTGAAAACAACATCCATTTACATACGACTGAATTTACACACATTTGAGCGTTAATTAGTGGATAACAGTTTGAAAATAGACATTATACCTTTATATACATTATAGAAATTATTTTACTTATTCCTATTATTTTGTGCATTAGTGATGAGCCGACGAGTGGTTTGGACTCATTTATGGCCGAAAGTATTGTACGGCTATTGAAGGCTATGGCCTGTGAGGGCCGGACTATTGTCTGTACAATACATCAGCCGTCGTCTCAAGTGTTCGCACTTTTCGACCACTTATTACTGATGACCGACGGAAGGGTTGCTTTCATGGGAACCAATCGTATGATTATTAAACTGTATTAATAATTAATAATAAATCTAAGCAAACAATATAGATAGAAATAAAACATGCTAAATATACATTAAATTAATTAATTCTAACCAAACATTAAAAGTTACAAATAAATAAGTTAGGTAACATGGTATATATATTCATATAATTTTATATTTCAATATTTGTATTACAGAAAATGCGAGAAATTTTTTTACATCTCATGGTTATGTGAGTGACATTATATTTAATTTAACATGACACAAAACTAACTAAGCAACACAGATTTCATATTAGAATTGCCTCCACCTTAATTAAGTATTATCAAAAACCATTTTTTATCTAGATTTGTCCGCTGGCCTACAGTCCCAGCGATTATTATATCAATCAATTGGGTTAGTGTCCAAATGTATTTACAGATCTAGTCAATCAATTTATGATTAAATTAATATTGTAGCAATCACATCTCAACCAGAAACACGTATAAAGGCCAATGTAAGTACTTTCACATTTAATTTGATATTAAATATTATTTATATAAAATTACAAAACAGCACATCTAAAATAATATTAAACTATATTTCAAAAATTTAAAAATTTTTACTAAATGTAGTAAATTTTTAACTATATTTTGTTAATTTTTTTGCAGAGAATATGCGATAAATTCGTTGACACGGAATATATGGTAGCAATTCTGGAGGATATCAATCAAACAAAAATGGACTCGGCTAAGATTGGTAACATTTCACCAATCACAGTTGATGAATGCGATGGATTAAACAGACCAGGATTATGGTTGCAATTTACCACGCTAATTATGCGATGTTACTTGTTGTCCATACGTAACACCGCTGATATTGTGGCTCAACTGAATCGCTCATTGGTTTGTAAAAATCAATTAATTATTACCCATAAATTAATTAACTACTAATTATATAACTTATAAGTTATTACATTGTAAAAATTAAACAGGATGATTATTATAAATTATAATTTATAATGAATACAATTTAATGTTGCCACGTGTTGTTTTGTAATATAAAACATATGAATTTTCGCATGCTGAAAGGAAACACTAGCATTGTTTTATACTCTGAATCAATATACATGAATCAATGTACCTAATGGTTTTGATAACTATTTTGATTGAGTTTTACTTATGAGTGTTTCCTTTCAGCATGCGAAAATTCATATTATATAAAAGCTATAAACGCTTTATAATTCAGCGTAGGTTTCTCTCTCTCTCTCTCTCTCTCTCTCTCTCCACACATAATTAACTGATCTACATATATTTTAATATGTTTTACATTATGATAAAACTTATTTGTGAAAAAATATCAAAGATTGACAAATAAAAATTATGTTCACTCAAAATACAGGCGATGGGAATATTTATTGGCTTAATATATCACAAACAGTATCCGATCTCCACTGATGTGGGCAATATTAATGGCATATTATACATGTTAATGGAAAGTTCCATGTTCTTTGAAATGTTTGTATTTATGGGGGTAAGTGTCACAGTTACCTTATTTTCATACCCTAATGAAAATTGTATTATAAAATTATTTGTTTGAATCAATTAAAAAAAGATATTCCTTGACAACACGGCGTTGTTTTTGCGTGAATACCATAATCGTATGTATTCTGTGCTGGCCTACTACCTGTCGCAAATACTTATCAGGGTAAGTTGTTTTATATAAAATGTTGTAAGCAATGATAAACATGTAATTTGTGTTTTGTTAGTAAAATGTATGATCATGTTCATTATAGCTACCCGTATCGATGGTAATGTTACTAATTTTTGCAATAATCGTGTATTTCATGGCGGGCCTGAATCCCGATCCCCAGGCGTTTGCCATTTGTATGGGAAATATGCTTCTCTTACTTTTATGCAGCAGTTTTCTCGGTATTATATAATTTAATAATTATAAAGCCTTTACATTAACTCTACATACATNATATAACTTGTGACGCAAATAACTGAATTTATAATATCAGGTTGCTTTATATCATCGATCTCGTCTGATCAGCAAATGGCCATGATACTTCTAACACCAATTACTACCATACTGACTATGTTTGGTGGATTATTTTTAAATTCTGGGTATTTTATTTAACTTATTTTACAAGATAACATTATCATCAATATATTCAATTACTATGATTATTGTAATTCATAATTATTAATTATAAATGTAACCATTATATTATACATTTAGTGTAACTTTGTAAATTATTAAATTTATTTATTATAGTGAATTTCCAGCATGGTCGGTATGGATCAAATATCTAACATATACCCATTATTGCTACGAGGCTTTAATGGTAAACGAATGGCGATATTTAGATGATATACCATGCTACAATAATAGCCAGTCGATGGGACACTGTTATGGCAACGGTTCAAATGTGATCATTTCGCAGGGTTTCAACGAGACTCATATCCATTGGGATTCATTCGCGTTAATAGCGATGGCAATTGTCTATTTAGTGCTAGGTTATATTGGCATGGTACGTAAAACTAAACTCGGACAATAATATTAATTAATTGCACATTTTATTAGCATGACAAAATATCATGTAATATAGATTAATTAATATAAAAATTAATGATTAATACTGTTGTGAATTATTAAATGAAATTATTATTGTTAGTTTAAATGATAATGTGAACTGAACGGAATTTTCCGCAACTTATGTATTAAATAATATTAATTTGTGTTATTCTCAAACAATGTTATAATGTTAATGGTCAAATAAATAATAAAATTATTAATGTGATATTTTTTAAATGACCAAACTCAAGGTATTTAATCAAATCCGATCATTGAATCCAATGCTTCCCATAGCGAAACAAGATTCACCCCAAGTTTATATAAACATGGTGAAAGTAAAGCGTTTAACAATAACCATGGTACTTATATTGTCCTCCAGTCAATTGCACTCTATCCTCAATTAAGGCCAGTGCAGTGGAGACAACTTTATTATTATAAAAATAGTGTTATTCTCTTTATATTACATTCTCTTTTTAATTATAAATAAATAATTTTTACATAAAAATATTAACGCAATTAAAAGTTTTATTTAACTAGAATTATATTTATTTATAAACTAAATAAAACTAGCATTAAACGTATGCTTAACGACACTTTATCAAAACTACACTTGAAGAATGCGGTCGTGTTATCAGTAGAGATGAGTTGACCCGTTATATCCACTCCGAGTCAATATCCGTCCACTTGAAGGGAAAGTACGATAAGTCGGTGGTTATTGTTTGGCCCGTTGTGTCTACCACTGGCCCAGTGCTCACACTTTACCACCGATCAGATTATGAAAGTCTACTCGACATTTAAATCAGAGCTTAAATAAATTTAATTCACTTTAATATTAATAAATTGTTTATTTAAAATTAAGACCTACTGTATTGATATATTACATTTTAAAAAATTATCCATGATAAATTAGGATAATAATATCGATTTATAATAAATTGTATTTACAATAATATTTAAGGATTATTAAACATGTTTGTGATTTAAATGTTGTTTTAATTCCGAATTCGTAACAAAGCGTTGATTACAGTTATTATGAATACATTTATAAAGTTTTATATTATTATGTCTTTTCATATGTAAGTTTAGAACAGATCTTTCTGAAAAACATTTATTACAATCATTGAAATGACAAACAAAAGGTTTTTCTCCCGAATGTATGCGTTTGTGTGAAAGTAGTCTGTTATTTGTATAAAATATTTTGTCACAATTTTCTTCATTACATTTAAATATCGTTTCATTCAAATGAACACAACTTTTGTGTTGAAATAAATTTCGTTTTGTTGTAAAACTTTTGTGGCATTCATTGAAATCACAAATAAATCTCACATTTAAATGAATTACATTTATATGCCTTTTGAGATCGCCTTTAAGTTTGTAACTTTCATTACAATTATTAAAATCACATTTAAATGACTTTAATTTTGAATGAATTAATTTATGTGATTTTAAAGTCAATTTATAGGGTGTCTTAAATTGACATTTAGGCCAAAAACAATGAAAATAAATTTTATTTTTAATACGATTTGAATGGACAACAAGTTTATGTTTATATAAATATGATTTATTTTTAAATACTTTATTGCAATTATGAAATTCACAAACATGTTGAAAACTTGAATGCATAAGAATTTTATGATGATCGAGTTGTTGTTTTAATGTATAACTTTGGTTACAATTATTAAAATCACATTTAAATGGTTTTATTGATGAATGAATTAATTGATGTGTAGTTATATAATCTTTCCTTAATGTCTTGTATTGACATTTAGGCCAAAAACAGTGAAAATAAGTTTGATTTTTGTCAACAATTGAATGACTCGTACTTTTGTGTCGAAATAAATGCTGTTTTGATGTAAAAATTTTGTGGCATTCATTAAAATCACAACTTAAATGAACCATCTTTTTGTGTTGAATTAATTTTGACTTTAGTATAAAAGTTTTATTACAATCATTGAAATAACACTTAAATTGTCTTATTTTTGTATGAGTTAAATGATGTCTATTTAAGTCACCCTTTAATTTAGTTTTGTATTGACATTTAGGCCAAAAACAGTGAATATCTTTTCTAAGATTAAAATGAACACTATTTTTATGTTCAATTAAACTTTGTTTCCGATTATAACTTTTATATAATATGAATTTTCGCATGCTGAAAGGAAACACTCATAAGTAAAACTCAATCAAAATAGTTATCAAAACCATTAGGTACATTGATTCATGTATATTGA